TCAATTAAACAAAACTGTTTTGAATGTATCCATTTATCAGATCTAGGTACGTAGCCAGGAAAAGGCACTTCTTTTCCTTGTGATTTTAGCGAATTTTCGTCTATTTATTTAAGAAAACTTTGGTAATGGCTGGAGATCATTTTTTATTACGTTCTTCCCCTTCGTCACCTTCCTCGCTCGTGTTTCAAAAGAAAATATAGGGAACAATGGAAAATAATTGAAATTCTATCAAAATATATAAAACAATGATTATCTTTTAACATCAAGTCCGCAGTAAGGAAGAATAAATTTTCACTAGTTCTCTATATTGTATCCTTCTATCAGAGCGAATTAAATTTTGAAAATTCAACAAAATAATTAGTAATCTCTAAAAGTATAGACGTAACAAAGGTATTTAATATATAATATTACTTTCAACGTACTCGCGTGTGGTAAATGTAGGTTTAAATAAAATAAAGAGTCGAACTTGTGGAAATGGCCGGACCAGTACCGATAAACTATTTTCGAAACTGCGCAGCTATATGATTCTTTACCAATTATGATCCAAGAAGAGAACAGATCTAGTACGGCCAGGAGAGGCACTTTTCAATTCCTTGTCAGATTTAGCCCGAATATTCGATGTATTTATTTAAGAAATAATTTGGTAATGGCTGGAGATTATTTTTTATTACGTTTTTCCCCTTCTTCTCCTTACGTCTCATTCTCGCTCGTGTTTCAAAAGAAAATATAGGGAACAATGGAAAATAATAAAAAATCTATCAAAATATATAAAACAATGATTATCTTTTAACATCAAGTCCGCAGTAAGGAAGAATAAATTTTCACCACTTCTCTCTCTTGTGTTCATCTATGAAAACGAATTAAATTTTGACAAATCAACGAAATAATTAGTAATCTATAAAAGTACAGATGTAACAAAGGTATTTAATATATAATATTACTTTCAACGTACTCGCGTGTGGTAGATGTCGTTTAAATAAAGATAAAGATCAAGTCGAACTTGTGCAATGGCCGGCCATACTAATAAATTTTCGAAATCGCAGTTACTGATTACCATTAGGGAAAGAGTCGATTATTTCTGTCGAAAGGCCGTGGATGGGCAGGGTAGAATTGCAGTGGAGGATACCATGAAAGCAATGATGTACCGGAAATGGCAGTGTTGGTGAAAAGGAGGAATGTCATATATATATATATATATATATATATATATATATATATATATATATATATACATATACATATATATATATATATATATATATATATATATATATATATATATATATATATATATATATATATATATATATATATATATATATATATATATATATACATATATATATATATATATATATATATATATATATATATATATATATATATATAAGAGAGAGAGAGAGAGAGAGAGAGAGAGAGAGAGAGAGAGAGAGAGAGAGAGAGAGACAGACAGACAGACAGACAGACAGACAGAGAGAGAGAGAGAGCGTTAACTCGACTGCAAACCATTTATGGAATTTGATATCCGAATCGTTAAGCCGCGGAGAAGTTAACAGAACATTTGAGTAGCCATGTTCTCTGGCAGAACGAATTACCGCGCTCTCCACTGTCGAGAAATCTTAAAAAGAGATTAGCTTGTCTTTGGATTAATCTAATTCATGCGAGGACCTTTCGGTTCCTCAAGTAACTTATTCTATATTTTCACAAATGATTTTTTTTTTCAATTATTCAATTAAACAAAACTTTTGAATTTATCCATTTATCAGATCTCGGTACGTATCCAAGAAGTACTGTTCTTTTCCGTGTGATTTTAGCGAATATTCGTGTATTCATTTAAGAAATCATTTGGTAATGGCGAGTTGGCTGGAGATAATGGCTATAAAAATGTGTGTTCTGTAGTATCTTAAAGTAGAATTAATTACCAATGTTTTAATATTGTTCATATATACCCGTTGTACTATATCGAACCTATGATGATTCAGAGCAGTCTGGGATCTCAAATACAAAATATTAAAAATGAGCGAATGAAAGTTTGAAAACTAGCCGTCCAATCAATCTTTTTCTCGCGAAATGAAAAAGTGCGCCAATGAAGATTATTCCAGAAAATCTGGCGACTGAAAAGGATTTCGTAATTTGGCCAATTAGAGCCGAGATTTCTTCTGATTGGGTAATAATGTTAGAATGCGATGATAATTCAAGTACTTTTTCTTTCCCCTTTTTCATTACTTATCTATTCATTCATTTAAAGAAATATCACTCGTTTCAAAATCAAAATAACACTTTCTAATTCTATACCTTTTCAAATTCCATTTATTGAGGATGAGCGGGACATAGAGAAGAAGAGCAGACATGAGAATTGAGAGATGAGAGAGAGAGAGAAGAGAGAGAGAGAGAGAGAGAGAGAGAGAGAGAGAGAGAAAGAGAGAGAGAGAAAGACAAAGAGAAAGGTAGGTTGAAGAGAATAGACAAGCAGTTCTTGATTTGAATATCGTATCAAATTCGGGCAAATTATTATTGTTATTGTCCTTTCTTTTTCTTATTCTCCTTTTTATCATCATTATCATTATTATTCC